GGGGCTCGAACTCACGGACCGCGAGATCGTGACCTGGCTGAAGTCGGACGCTTAACCGACTGCGCCACCCAGGCGCCCCTGGAAGATTTTATTTTTAAGTAATCTCTACACCCAACATGGGTCTGGAGCCCACAGCCCCCGAGATCAAGAGTTGCATATTTCGCCAACTGAGCCAGTCAGGTGTCCCCCATCATATCCGTTTTTAAGTGTACAATTCAGTAGTTTGAAATATATTCACACTGTTGTGCATGAACTTTTCCTTCTGTAAAACTGAAACTCTGTAACCATTAAACAACTCCCCATTTTCCTCTTGTCTCCGCCCCTGGCAGCCACCATTCTATTTTCTGTTTCTATGAATTTGACTACTTAGATACCTCACATAAGTGGAACCATTCCGTATTTGTCTTTTTGTGACCGGCTTATTTCACTTAGTATAACGTCTTCAAGTTTCATTCATGTTGTAGCATGTGTCAGGACTTCCTTTTTAGTGAAGTAAGTTTTGTGGAGAAAGAAAAATGCATCTCCCTTTAACAAGCAGCGTTGAAAATATGACTCACTCTGAAACGCTGGCTCAAAAATTTTAAATAAGTGTTAAGGCCAAACCTGAGGATGGAAAAGAAAGAAAAGGCATTTCTCACTTCCCCCGAATAAATAACAGCTTGGTTGCAAGAGAAATAACATGTCAAATATGTATTATCCTTGGGGTTTCATGGCAAAAAAACCTTACCTACTGATAATACAGTAAATATCAAAAGAATAACTACTCAATTAATGTTAAGTTGAATTGAAACGCCAGCCCTTAGTTTCTTCAAAGGGCTCTTAAATAAGCGTGTCTGATCCTGGGAGAAGAGACAAAGCCCAGTGTTTAGCTGCTGCAGTCTGGTTGTTATGTTGTGATCTGCAAATTTCCCAATTCCGTTTCCAGGGTTTGCCTCCACACCGTGAAGCCCAGTATAGGGGCAAAGGGAAAATGGAAGGTCTGCGTAAGCCTGAATTGGCATGGGAAGCCAGAGTACTTGTTCGAGTTTGTATATAGAGAGGAATTTCCTGAACCCATTTTGGGGCAAAAAATTATTTTTTTCAGAATGAGCATGGTAACCCACTACTTCCCTGCTGCCTATTGAGAAATGTGCAGATACTTCCTACTTGGCACTCACACATCTGCCTTCCTTATACTTGGTCTTTTTCTAATTCCCTGGCTTCCTCTCTGTTGTTTCCTTCCCTTGCCTTTCTCTCCTTTCTGCCTTGCCGGTTCCCCTACTGAACTTTTGTTTCCTCTTCCATCCCCTTGAGTCCTGCGTCCTGTGTTGTGCCTTGCCTCCGCTGACCTCCTTCCCATTCTGCCCACTGTGTACTTGTCTGCAGACAACCCAGAGGGGCCTCACAGGCTGGGTGGGGTTTCACTTGGGTAAATTACCACATCCTGGAGCATCATCCAGCAGTGTTTTCTTAAGAGTTGGGAACTGAAGTCAGCGCATTTAGTGGGGGGAGAAGTGAAACCATTTAGTGGGATGGCACTCCAGAGAACGGCTCTGTATAAATCAACAAACGGTGACATTGCATGAAAATGATCATGAGGGGAGTCTTAAGTGGGGACCAGAGGACCAGCAAAAGGACAAGGGCCCATAAGGTGATGATGGAATCAGGATGGGACAGCCAGGGCTGCTGGTTGTGGCTGGGTTCACTAGCCAGTGGTCTTTTCCCCCCACCTAACCCACTGAAGCTTGGTCAGTGGTAGGGCTGCACTGGGGCCAACTGTCTGGTTCCATTGCTGTCTGTTCGTGGGTAAACCTGGGCTCCACCCTGTTCTAGTTTGAAAAGAAAATTTAAAAATAAAAAGATGCTCAATTTTGACTTCTAAAATAATGTTCCAGGTGTATAAAATATTACTTCTTCCTGGCTTGGAGGTGGACTCTCCAAGGTCATTTTAGAAGCCCCTCTGCAAAATGTTCCTTGAGTCATTCTTGCACGTACTATTACAGAAAAGACCTATCTTATGGGGGAGAAGCCATGAACATTGTAATTTCAAGAATAGTCATTAGGCCCTGGCCCAAGAATGGGATCTAAATTTTATTAACGAAATCTAAAATTCCATTGACAGGTTGTGTGTGTGTGTGTGTGTGTGTGTGTGTGTGTGTGTGTTTTATTATTGAGAGCGACAGAGCATGAGCATGAGAGGGGCAGAGAGAGGAGGAGACACAGAATCTGGCAGCCTCCAGGCTCTGAGCTGTCAGCACAGAGCCCGACGCAGGGCTCGAACTCACAAACTGCAAGATCATAACCTGAGCTGAAGTTGGATGTTTAACTGACTGAGCCACCCAGGCGCCCCATCCATTGACAGTTTTATCCCCAATTTAAGTATTTAACCCTCCCTTAGAATGAAAGCAAATCTCAGAAGGGGGCAGTAGATCACCCCTTATGAATCTTTAGCCTTAACTCACACTCCTCACCTCCATTCCCCACATCCTTTGTTCCAGGCGAACCAGAATTCACTGGTGGAGCCAACCAGAGGCTTTTGCAGGCCTTCATGCCTGAAACTTTTGAGCCTGATTTTTCTACTTGGGACCCTTTCTCTCTCTTGTTTAACTTCCCATTCTTCAAAATCCAGGCAATGTCACTCCCTGTTCAAAGTCTGTTCTGCAAGGCAAGCATAGCCCAACTGAGCCTTCCCTGCTTACTTACTTAGGTCTGTCTTCCCTGATGGCTCTTCCCCCAGTGGACTCTCTGGCTTACAGGCTTATCTTCCCACTAGGTTAAGCCTCCATCAAAGATGTGAGCTGTACCTTGCTCATCATTGAATCTCGCATCTAGAACAGTATCTGACCCAGAGTAGGTTCTGTTTATGGAGTGAGCGAAGTTTTTACTGCCAGTGTGTCTCTAATGGGGGTGGCGGTGCAGGGCTGGAGGGGAAAGAGGGAAGAAGCCAGGAGAAGCAGCAGCAGAGGAGGCTGCTGAGAGGAGGCTGGGCTTACCGAAGGCAACCCCCCCTGGGTGATAGTTTTGCAAAGGGCCAGTTTAGAGACATGCTAAATCCTCTTTTACTACTGTCCCTCAGAAGGTAACTGTAATTGCTGAAATTTCAAATTATTAACACATTTGATGCATTTGCCAAAGTGGTGTTTAACGACCTGTATTTCACACAATAAAGTGGGGCAAAGTTAAAAACCCAAGTTTGCTTTAGATGTGTATCTGCCACCATCTGTTGGTTCCCGGATCCTGGGTTACATCATTCTTATTTTTACATTAAACATTACCAGTAATAAAAACAAAGAAAGGGGGGAAATAAAAGCTCATGTAAGGAAATTCTGATTTCACACGGTCTTGACAGAGTCTTTTGCTTCTCGGTGATCCCAGAAACTGAAAACAACAGGAAGATGTCTTATTGAGAAAGACCACTTTCAACTTGACCATGAGTCAAAGAAGGAAGAAAAATTCCTCAGATGGAGAAACCAAACCCCGGACTTCGTTTGTCAACAAATTCTTCAGGAGCTCAAAACTCAGGCCCACCAAAGCTGAAAGCAGAAAAAAGAGCAATGACCTTGAAGCTGCTGATTTCCAACCCAGCGATGACACACAGAGAACAGAAAACATCTTAGATACTGGTAAACTGACTGCTGTTATTTCTCTATTTTTTAGAATAATGTTTCCCCCTAAAGACATCATATGGGTTAAACTAAACCTAATATGAGTTTCTATTCTAAGCATTTACTATGTTACTTAAATGCTTTAAATACTTCAAGAATTTTACTTTTAAATTATTAGCATTTAAATTACATGTAACACTACAGGAAGGTATAGAGAAAATACCTTGTTTCTTTTCATTCTGATACAGTATTTTGTTCATATACATGCATTTAAGGTCAACCAGCCAGTCAATAAACATTGATCGAGTACCTACTGTATGTCAGCCATTATTGTGTTAGAAATGCAGCCACATAACACAGGACCTTACGTACACAAGGAACCAGATGCAGACATAATTTCAGCGTGATAAGTGATACAAAGAAACAAAAGCAGGCTAAGGAGACTAAGAATGATGGATGGGGTACTACTTTAGATGGGGTTGCAGGGAAGGAGTCTCTGATTTGGTGGCACCTGAGCAGAGATCTGAATAAAGTAAGCCAAGTAGAGTGAATGAATAAAGCCAGTCACGTAGATGCCTGTGGGAATAGCTTCCCAGGCAAAGGCAGCTATAAATGTGAAGGTCCAGGGTGGGACTGAGCCTGGAGTACTTGAGAGCGAGCCCAAGGTCAGGGGTGCTGAAGCAGGATGAGAGGAGAAAGGACAAAAGTAATAGGACAGTCACGGAGGAGGTAGCTGGGGGCCAGAATGGGCATCTTTTGCAGTTATAATAATAGCTTGCAAATCCCTCTTGAGCTTACACGGAGCTGTGGTCCTACTTCTGAAACATATTTTTATACTGCTCAATCCCCACGTTGCTACATGATGTTTATATGCCTAATTTTAACAGCTGCATGATATTCCATCCCGTGCCTGTCAGTGAATATTTTTGTCTTTCCCTCTTGCCTCTTCCATACGTCATTGTATTTCAGCCTTGTTTTTTAGTACAAATTCTTAGAACAGAGATTACAAATTCAAGGGTTATGAAAATAAATATTGCCCAATCTTTCCTTAAAGCTATGTGTCATGTACAATGCCATTAATATATTATCTACTAGAGGGGCGCCTGGGTGGCTCAGTCAGTTGAGCGACCGACTTTGGC